GAAATGGGGCTGGACTGCTCTTGGAATGGGGTTTCTTTTTGGTGAATAAAGATGTTCTGGAATTAGTGGTGGTGGTTGGATGGCCTTGTGAACACTGAATGATATAAGGTCTGTCCAGAAGGTATCCAGCCATGTAATGTGAAAACGAAAATGAAGTGAAAAATAGAGGCATTTATTTAACGAGACAGAAGACAGAAGAAACACTGTACATAGGACAATGATGCTTCAGTCCCCTTCAAAGTAGGGACCTTGGGACCTCACACGGTTTTCCCAATCGCCATCGGCTGCCCTGTCATATTTTCCTGAATCTCATCAACAGTCTGAAATCTGTTTCCCTTCAAAGGTGATTTTAGTTTTGGAAAAAGACAGAAGTCGCAGGCCACCAAATTTGGGCTGTAGGGGGGCTGAGTCACCTGGGTGATTCAATGTTTCACCAAAAAACTCTGCACAAGATGAAATGCACGAGAGGGCACATTGTCGTGATGAAGCTGCCAATCACCAGTTGCCCATAGCTGTGGCCTTCTGAATCGTCTGAATAGTTTCCATGGAGGAATGTTCAAGCTTAACACAAAATCTGACACAGATTCATTGCTCTACTCATTCAGTCATTTAGAATGTGACAGCCACACAGTACACATGCTCACTCAATAGTGTCTACAGCTTCCAATGACTAGTACAGTGGGGTTATCATAATTCATGCTTACGCACTGCAGTCTACCCTCCTTGGCTGCCAGGTTATACCGATGCTCAGCAAACCATTCTCGTTATATTAACAATGGTTGGGCTTTTTCCGGACAGACCTTGTGCTTGTTTTAAAAGCGTGAATTATACATCAATTTTTTTAAAGGGGGCAGACGTTTCTTAAAGGATGTGCTCACTGGGCAGACAATAGTGGGGAAAGAATTCTAGGCAGAAAGAATAGAATGAAAAAAGGCATGGAAGCCACAAAAACGAATGCATTCAGGGCAGTGAAAGTGGTTCAGAGGCTGGAGTGCAAATACACACACAGGACTGCAGAACTGACACGGCGGCGAGGGGACACGCAATGAAAGGCCTACACGCTAACCAGGGAGGCCACGGGGCGCCTCTGATGAGAACGAGGTCTCTTCCCAGGGGCACGACACGACTGCACGGTTTGGCTCAAGCCACCTCGTCAAACTTGGTGTCATCAACAAGTCCACTCCACTTTGGTAAGCCCAACGCTCGTCCTCACCATTTATAAAATGCATTTATTTACAGTGGCAGTTATTCCAGGTTTTTTCCCCACCACAATGTAAACTCCTCGAGGGCGGCCCCGTCTCCAGGCCTGACTATGGAAGTGCAGTGCGGAGCAGCCCGTGGGGCTCCACAGCTTTGTGATGAGAAGGGCAATTTCGACAAAGTGCTGAGCTTCCCTCACTCTACAAACTTTCGTTCATATGGCCTCCCCGTTCGGAATGTTCTCCTAATTACAAGTTTGTCCAAAACTGCGCCATCCTTTACGGCCTATTCACATGCCACTTCCTTACGAAGGCTCTTCTCATCTTCCCATCTGGATATAGACTCTCCCCTCTTGTAAAGAGGGTGTATTCTGTACTCTTCTTATTGTACTGATTTTTTATGGTACCATATTGTGGTTATTTGGGCATTCCACTCATCTGACACATCTCTTGCCCCACACCTGGAGTCTAAGAACCTTGACATAAGGTCTCTGTCCTTCCCAGACGAGGAGCCTCCACGCTGGAGAAAGCCTGATTTGAATTGTTCAATTAGCAGCAAAAATGGAATTGGGGCCAGAAATAAGCATGATTATAAAACAAAAGTTTTAAAAAATCCAAGAAGACACAAAACAGGACCCAGGCACAAAAACAGACAGTGTATGTTGAATCAATCTGTGACCACTTGGCTTGTTTATATCTGGTCATTTCCATCACATGCATTTCATTTTGCGAGAACTCCGGAAGACTCAGACAAAGAGTAACAGCCTCCCAGCCGCTGCGTTCCCAAGCCTGTGGTTTTCCTGTGACATAAACAAAAGATTCTGGAGGTATGGTCTTTGTTAATATTTGCTGGTGTGGGTCTGGGGGAGAAATGGGTGGTGGGGTGGGAGGGGAGTTTGAGGGAAATGCACCCAGTGAACTGACAGTTCATATAAGCAACACCTGGAGTGCTAAATCCCCTACGACTGTTGTTTTACTGAGGGAAAAAATCCACTCTGACTTTGGTACGTGTAAAAATTCCTTCAGCAGCTGCGTTCCAATCTAAAGTGTGTGCCAGTGCAGGAGAGATGGCAGCTGGCACAGATCCTGTGCAGGATGCAGTGAACGTCCACCAGCAGCGAGGGGGTGACCGGAGCCCACAGAATCAGTCTTCAGAGCCACGCTCCTCTAAGAAAACAGGTTAACCTCAAGCTGCCTGCGCAGTTTTCTGCTTATAAACATCGAGGATACTGGAAATACACATCCACATCTGATGGTGAGAGGCTCAGCCTTCTGAATAGAAACGTTGTGACATCAGCTACTCAGGACTCCCCACTTAGCTTCATAAAACCCTAATGCCTAAATTTTGGTTTTAATCCTATTTTTGTTAAATATTTACAATCTACTACAAACCCAAATTCAGACCAAATGTCTGCTTACATAACCTTGTGACATGGCCACTCCTCCCGACATGAGGGAGAGAGGATTCGTACTTATTGGCACCAGGTCCGCCACTCTCCTCCTGCTCCATCCTCACGACTCTGGGGACCAGACATCCACACAGCATGTACAGATAAGGTGACTTGGACCCAGAGAGGTCAGCCGTTTGCTCAGCGCCCCCCAAGGAAAAACGAGGAGTGTGAGGTCTGATTCCAAAGCTAGTGGTGGTCTTTCCACTGTGCTCTGTCTGCCACTGGCCGGTACAGGCCCAGAGAAATTCTTTCTCCAGAATTTGTAAGAATGCTACAAGGGTCTAAGACTCTCACATAGGTATTGGCAAACTTTTTCTGTAAAGGACCAGGTTGTAATTATTTTAGGCTTTGTGAGCCATATGATCTCAGTTGCAATTACTTAATTCTGCACTTGTAGCCAAAAAGAGCCACAGATAACATACAGGGCAGGGCAAAAGTAGGCATATAGCTGTGAGTACATGAAACACAGTTTATTCTTATATTATTATTACTGTATCATTTTCCATATGAACAACTGCAAACCTACTTTTGCCCCACCCTGCACAGATAAATGAGTATGGGCATGTGCAAATAAAACTTTATTTATACCTTTTGACTCTCTGGGCAGCACCATGGTGGTTGGCAAGAACAAGTGCCTTACAAAGGCAGCAAAAAGGGAGCCAAGAAGCAGTTGACCCGTTTTCTAAGAAAGACTGGTGTGATGTGAGAAAGTACCAGATATGTTCAATATAAGAAATATTGGGCCCTGGTTGGTGTGGCTTAGTGAACTGAGTGCCGGTCTGTGAACCAAATGGTCTCCAGTTCGATTCCCAGTCAGGACACATGCCTAGGTTGCGGGCCAGGTTCCCAGTAAGGGCCACCTGGTAAAAACACACTGATGTTTCTCTCCCTCTTTCTCCCTCCCTTCCCCTCTGTCTAAAAATAAATAAATAAGTAAATAATCGCCAAAGAATTAAAAAAATATATGAAATATTGGAAAAACACCAGTCACAAGAATTCAAGAAAGTAAAATTGCATCTAATGATCTCAAGGGTCATGTGTCTGAAGTAGGCCTAGCTGACCTGCAGAATGACAAAGATGCGTTTAGAAAATTCAGGCTAAGATGTTCAGGGGAAATACTGCCTAACTAATTTCCATGGCAAGGATCTTACCACGGAGACAAAGTGTGCTCCTTCGTTAACAAATGGCAGACCGTGACTGAAGCTCATGTTGCTGTCAAGACTCCCGATGTTATTTGCTTCATCTACTATGTGTTGGTTTCACTAAAAAATGCAATAATGGATTTGGAATACCTCTCATGTTCAGCATCGACAGGTTTGCCGAATCTGGAAATCATGCAGATGAATGACTTGAAAGAAGTGGTCAATAAATTGATTCCAAAAAGCATTGGAAAAGACATAAAAAAGCCTTGCCAATCTATTTATCTGTTCCATGAAGTCTTTGTTAGAAAAGTAAAAATGAGCCCAAGTTTGAACTGGGAAAACTCATGGAGCTTCACAGTGAAGGGAGCAGCTCTGCAAAAGCTAGAGTTGAACAAGCTGATGGATATAAGCCCCCAAGTCCTAGAATCTGTTCAAAATTCAGACTTAATGGTGACAAATAAAAACCTCTATTTGTAATAAAAAAAACCCCTTTATTTATACAATGGGAAATGGACCTAATGTGGCCCATGGATTGCAGTTTGCTGACCTACAAGGTTCTAGAGTGGGTAGCTTCATGTTATTTAGCTGAGAAATCAATAGAGAATTGCCTGTTTCCAACTCAATTTATCAACAAACATGTAAGTCTTCTGTGTTCTATATGGTCCATGCAGTCAAGGAATTTACATTTAGAAAGAAAAGACACAGGTACACAAAAACCAAACAGCAACACAAGGCAGCATGGGGTACGTGCTGAAGGAGGAAACTCGAGGGCTGATGGATGCGCAGCCATGATAACAAAACACCAGGGTCCACAACCTGGTCAAACAGTCCTGCGTTGGCACCAGAGCTCAGAAAGAGATGGAAAAACCTCAGTGTGCAGCAAAGACATGAGCCAGAAGTTTCCAACAAGAACGCCCACTCTGGTGAGACCACTTACGGTTTTCATCAGCATCTGTCAGATGCTAATCAGAGTTAACATCTTGAGACTTACCAAATACACCTGCTCCCTGTCTTGTTCTCAGAGGACAAGCAATTGACCTAAGGTGCAAGATAAACTGAGCGCCGTGGGAAACTCCTGGACCGGGTCTTCCCTTCTCCTCCTAAGCACTTTAAGCACCGAAGAGCCTGAAGAAGCTAGACAAGGGCTGAAGGAAGCCATCTGCGGTCCCTCCTGGACATGTAGGAAGCAGAACGTCCTGAACCCTTACCTTGCTCATGGCAGTCAGCGCAGGGTCGCAGGCAGCATCCAGGTCCTGAACCAACAACTGGATGCTGCTAGAGATGACACTGCAAATCAAGCAAATGACTAGGTTACAACTTTTTTAAAATATGACTTCTTAAATGACATAGCCCCTTCCAAATTTTGAGGCACCTGTGTGAAATGAGAGTCATCATTTCATCAGTAACTGAGAAAACTCAAGTTTCGTTTCAAAAAAGATTTAGTGACAACGAGGAGCATTTGGCTCTTTCTTTATTCTTGTTGCATGTGCTGGTCTCATTCAGGTTTGTGTCTCCACTGGACGTAAAATTCCACAGCTAGCCTCCCTATTCGCTACACCCAGAATCCTTCTTCCATTTCCACCTCCAAAAATACCTGTTTGCCAAAATCTTTATTTTTTAAAAATATTTTATTTATTTATTTTTAGAGTGAAGGTAAGGAAAGGAGAAAGAGAAACATCAATGTGTGGTTGCCTCTCATGCACCCCCAGGGTACCTGACCTGCAACCCAGGCATATGTCCTGACTGGGAGTTGAACTGGCAACCCTTTAGTTCACAGGCCCACGCTCAATCCATGGAGCTACACCAGCCAGGGCCAACATGTTTAAATCAGAACTTGGAAAAAAGGAAGTTGAGAAAAGGAGGGAAGCCCTGGCTGGTGTGGCTCAATGGACTGAGTGCTGGCCTTGGAACCAAAGGGTCGCTGGTTAGATTCCCAGTCACAGCACACGTCTGGGTTTCAGGCCAGGTCCCCTGTAGGTGGTGCATGAGAGGCAACTACACATTGATGTTTCTCTCCCTCTCTTTCTCCGTCCCTTCCCTTCTCTCTAAAAATAAATAAAAACATTAAAAAAAGAGAAAATAGTTTGAGAAGAAAACTTTACTTTGTCCTCAAAAAGTGGTGGATGAGAAAGCATGGTCTATCCTAGTCTCTTAATGACCACAGCAAAAGTAAATACTGCAAGGCAACGAAAGAACTACCTCAAGAAAGCTTTTCAGTCTGAACTTCTGGGACAGACATCCTCCTGACACGCACACACGCACGCGTGCGCACATGCCTCAGATCTGGCTGCTTACACATTATATTCTAAATCACTGGAGGTGGGCTGGTCCTGTGTGGATTTAGGAAAGCAGACAGGAGGCCTTGGACCTGACCTCCCTTCAGGGAGGGCCAAGAGAGGCTTTCTTCCCTTTTGTTATTCTAATAGCGAAACAATTAAAACCGAGGGGCTGACCGGCTTCTAATGCTTCTTCGTAGTTGCTAGTGGTTAACAATCCCGATCCAAACGAAAGCCCTGGAAACCTCTCAGGTTCAGTAGTGCCCTAAAGCCTACAACCTGAGACATGCTGCTTTGCGAAGGGCAGGCCTTGGGCAACTGTGTGCAGGTACATACGTGCTGAACGTGTCCATTTCTCCAGTCAGATTGATCCGTTCGGTCAGACTTACGTCAACTTTTTCTTTGAGTTTTTCTTCTAGCTATTAGAAAATAAGAGAACAACGTGCTTAATGATTATCCAAATGAGTACCTTAATAAGAATACTTAACATTGACCGAGTTTGATGATTTGGGCATAATTCCAGGCACTTTTCATTCGTGGACTCATTTAATTCTCATGGCTCCATGAGAAAGATTCTTTTATTATCCCCAGGTTACGTAAGGATGAGGAGATGGAGGAGTGACCACCCAAGACAGGAAGTGGAAGGATCAGGAATCACTTCCTCCAGAACCTGTGCCCTCTAGCACTAGGCTGTAATTGTTTCTTATGACACACTGAAAATGCACTTCACTAATTAAAAAAACACCCCGGGGTTTAGGATACTCCCAGCCCCCGTCAACTGCAGGCTCACTCCTCAACGTGGGAAACCTCTGGCTGTGGGTGGCAATAAAATCAGTGTTAAAGTGCTCACTGAGTGCTCCTACACACCACCCACTGTGTAAAGGTGCTGGGGATACAGAGGCAAAGAAAAGCAGCAGTCCCTGCCTTCAGCAGTTTACAGCCTAGGAGGAAAACACCGGCCATGCTCCCAGCTGCCTCAAAGGAAAATACACCCGATCAGGAATTGCAACATCCCGGGAACTGACTCACCTCGCACTCCCAGACTTATTTATTACACGAACTCTAAGAATACTGAATGTTTTGTCTTGAGTTAAAAAAATACTGTTTGGGGTATATAAATTAATGTAATCTTTTTTGGAAGGCAATTTATTTAAAAAGCAAAACACTAAATAACCACCCTTTATTCACATCTAGAAAAGTATTTCAATGGAGTAAAGAGAACAATGTACAAAGATATGCAAGTATTGTTTGCAGCGCTCATTCACTCACTCAACCAATATTTACTAAAAACCCATTTTGTACCGGGCTCTGTAACTGAGCAAGGGAGTTATGGACCAAACAGTGAGACCTTGTTCTCTTTTAGCTCACGTTCGAGTGTTGTCTGTTACTGCAAACCTAGAAACAATCTGCACGTTTATTTGTATTTCTGTCTTACCAGTATAAGACAAACGACGGGACAGGCTTACAATGAATGCTTCAACTCTTTGGCAGCCTCTTCCTACTACACTGAAAATAAAATCCAAACTTCTAACCATGATCTGGGTGCTGTCCATTCTCCTGCCCACTTACAGCTTTCCCCCTTGCTGCCTCGGCTTCAGCTACATTGCCCAGTTAAAGTTTTAGAAATACTGAAGTCCGTTTCCGCTCAGGGCCATTATACTTCTACTTCCTCACCCTGAAAAAACTCCCTCGTTCTGCCCCCTCCCCAGCCCTTCTGACCCTTCTAAGCTCCTCCCTCACTTGGAGGTCTCCTTCCCAACCCTCAGGTCTCTGCTCCAATGCCCTCTCCTCAGAGGCCCTTCTTGACCACTCCACTCCTGTGGGCAACTCCCTAACTAGCACTGCAGCTTCTTAGCACTTACCACAAAACTGAAGTTACAGCTTGGCTTACATATATCAATTATCTGGCTCCCCCATCAGTTCTTAGTTCCATGACAGAAAGAAACTCGGCTACTTTGTTCATCACTGTTAATTAACTACATATATAAGTGCTTCATAAAGAGCTCCTTAACAACCCTGGCTGGTGTGGCTCAGTGGATTGAGCATTGGCCTGTGAACCAAAGGGTTGCTGGTTTGATCCCTGGTCAGGGCACACACCTGGGTTGTGGGCCAGGTCCCTAGCCGGGGGTGTGCAAGAGGCAACCCATGGATGTTTCTCTTATACAGTGATGCTTCTCTAGCTCTCTTTCTCCCTCCCTTCCACCCTCTCTAAAAATAAATAAAATCTTTAAAAAAAAAGATCTCTTGAATGAATGAATGAAAATATCCCATGCAAATGTTAAGTGTAATGGTGTTATAATTAGTGAGTCAATATTCATAATTACTGACATTTTAAATTTTTTATTTTTTCCAATTCTTCAATGCTTGGATTCTTAAAAGTCTCTGGTCTCTTCTTCCATATTTTTGCCCACCCCCAACCCCTGCAATTTTTTAAAGGAAACTGGGTTGTTTGGCCTGTGGATTCCTCCCATAGTTTGGATTTTGCTGGTTGCATCCATAGATATTAACTAACATGTTCCCTTGTCCCTTGAAGTAAAGACTTATCTTCCTTTTGATAATCTTAATTAGCTTTCTTCTAGCTTACTTTTTTTGGAGAGTCAAAAGGTACACATGAATTTTTGACTGTGTGCAGGGTTGGCTGGGAGTGCCTGTACCCTTAACCCCGTGCTGTTCAAGGGTTAACTGCAGAAGCTTGGGCAGATTCAGGTTCTTTCTTCCTTTTCAGAAAACTACTTCATGACGGTGCTGCATACTTCTAATCAGTGGGTACCCAGTGATGTTTGGCTGTCTCTCTTTTGTAATATCAGCAGCCATTGATGGTCAATTCCCAGATCTGTTATTCTACTAGGAGTTGTAAAAAAGAATGATATCCTACTTTTTTCTTCTTCATTTATTAACTAAAATTCTGTCCTAAAGAGGTACTTCCCATTGTCAATTACTTGGTTCTCCCGAGGTACAAGTCAGATAGGAAAGGCAGGATAAGAACTTCCCCTTTATTTACCAGTATGAATTCATATCCATGGTTCCTTAGTATCTTCAAAGGTGATATATGAATTTTTAAAAAATCTTTATAATCAGACAGATTGGATCATATTGATGTTTCAGTCCACCGTAGTTCATACTCTCACTGATGTTTATCTGTCCCATCTCTGACCCTGGGGCTTACTCAGGTCGGCTGCTGCTCGAGTTTCCTGGGGCCACCATAACAAATCGCTGCACACACACGCAGGGACCTACAGCAGCAGTTGGCTCTCAGTTCTCGGGGCCAAAGTCCAGAAGCAAGGTGTTGGCTGGATGGTTCCCTCTGGAGGTTCTGAGGAAGAAACTGTTCATGCCTCTGTTCTATCTCACTGTAGTTGCCGGCAATCTTTGGTTTTCCTTAGCTTGCAGGTGTGTCAGTCCAATCTCCGCCTCCATCTTCACATGTCCTTCTTCCCTGTATCTCTGAGTGTTAACCCCCCCCTCTCCTCGCTAATGATCCAGTCATTGGATTCAGGGCTCCCCTAAATGCGAGATGATCTCATCTTCAGATCCTTACTTAAGTACATCTTCCTGTACTTAAGGAAGTATAGGAAGAAAAACAAATCCTATTTCCAAATAGGGTCACATTCACTGGTAGTGGGGGTTAGGGCCTGGACATGTCTCTTTGTACATGAAACACACTACAGCTCCCGAGTGAGTCCTTTTGAAATGGCTCTCACAGCCTTTGATGTTTTCTTGCTTTTTGTATTACTTGATGTTCTAGACTTATCTTGCACATTTCCTACCCAAACCTGGGATTAGTCATTTCTGGAAGAATCTATGGTTCCTTTCAGTGGAAAATGGTATTTATAGATCACAGTATAGGGGCTAAGAATGCATTTACTTTTATAATTATAACCTTTTCATTATAATTGTTTATAATGAAAAACAATTTTCGTTAAATAACAAAAAAATGGCTACTCCTATCATGAGTCATTAAACTGGTCTCTGATCTACTAACACTTCTAGAACTTCTGAGATGCTGTTCTAGAAAAATAGTGTAAAACATTAGGTGTTCTTCGTAGGATTACTTATAAAAGTAAAAACTTGAGGCAGCGTGAAAATGATCAGAGATACTGTTGAATAATTTATAGTATGCACCTTAATGGAATATTATGTCGTCGTAACAATGATCATAATGAAGACATTATAGCAACAGGAGAAATGCTAACGCTACAATGTTAACGAAACAAAAGAATATGAAAATTTAGTGAAGATCATAGCATACAAAACTGTGTTGATGAAAACCAACAGAGGGGAAAACCCCTCCAAATTACTAACATGATTATTTGAGGGTGATGGGATTGAGTCATTATTTTTATAGCTTTTTTTTTTGGTACCACAGTTATTCTACTTTTAAAATACTATTATTTACATGTGTGTACTCTTCCTCATTCTGAGCCCACACAAAATAGTTAAATGGTGTTTCTTCACCAAAGACTGTGACCCCACCTTGGAGGTCCTCACGGATCAAATGCCATCCTGCCCTGGGAGCTCTGGGGATTAAATGGATCACTGTCTCTGGCTCCAGGCTCCAAGGCCAAACCTTCGCAGATCTTTCCCTGTGTGACTCAATATAACCATGTCGCCAAGCAGAGCATGGAATGGCCTTTGCCTCTGGCCAGCTTAGCCCCAACTGTGAAGTTTGGGGGGCACGACTTCTTATTTGGGTTCCTGTCTGCTTGCTTTAGCTCACAGGTGCTCCAAGCTGTCCTGTCTGCACCATAATTTATGACTGACTTCCTCTGATCTAGACACGTGTAAACAATAAACTCCAAAGATGGGAAGAGCAGAACCTTCCCCAATTACTTTTTTTTTTTGCCTTGGCCTTAGATGAATTCCAGATCAAATGTGAACAGGAACTTCTAATCCCACATCTAAGGCTGAATGGAACATTATTCTGGTTCTTCCTGGTTTTCCTGGGGAACTCTGGTAGAGCCATCACCCTTTCCTGCTTCACAGTTCCTGAACGTCAACATCCAAACAATGGTTATTTGTTTACGCAGATTGAGACTGCTATGTAAATTCCAGGAGACACATAAAAGCCCAGAGGATTCTGCTGAGCCTAGTAATACTTCTGAGAATGGAGTAACTGGTTGTGACTCATCACCACCAAAGGCTGGGTCCTAGTACCCTTAAGTTTACTCCTGCTTGTCTCATACAAGAGACAGGACTACTGACCTACTTTTTAGGGGGAATGCCCTTTATGTAACTTACATAACTCTGGGGAAGAGATCAATCACACTTTCTTGCTTAGGCTCCTTCAACAAGGCCCTTCTGTAAGACAGCTGTCTTCTGGCTAGACAGTTAGTTTTTCCTCTATGGGAGGCCAACTGGTCTACCCAGGTTTTATGTGGCCTTATTAGGGTCCATACTCCTAGCAACTGATCTAAGTGGCCTAAATAGTTCAGCAAAAGGAAGTGGAGAGTGGGCAGCCAGGGTGGCTCACCTGCTGGGTAGTGGCCAGACAGTACTCTGCTGTGCTCAGGATGCTGCAGATGAGGCAGAGTTCCTCTAAAGTGAACTTGGCTACTTCTGAGCCCTCCTTTTCCTTGAGGAGGCTACTGATGGTCAGCCCTCCACTGCTGCTTGTGGTTCTGAGGAAAATGAACAGGCAGTAGTCAGGCTGGGGCTTCTCACTTGGTTCCTGAACTGGAAACTGCACATCTTAAGACAAAGAAAAGGGGGAAGTAAAGGCTGGACGTGGCCCAAATAAATCCATACACAATGAGTCCTTTCCTACTGACCTTGCCTTGACCACCAGAAATAGGAAGAGAGGACCCCAACAGTGGGCCAGCGGTCAGTCACATTCCTGTGATGACTCGGATATGCGCAGAGAAGGCTGCCGAACAGACTCTCTGCTCAGCTTGGAATTTCCTGATCTGTAGAGCTCATTCAGGATAATCTGCAGCTCTTGGGCTCAAGATTACCCTGAATTGTTTCTCTCAGTTGAGCAAATTCTGCACAGAAATCTGTATGTTGTGCTTGTGGTGGGGTCCAAAAGTAAATGTTAAGACATGGTTCCTCCCCAAACTCCTGATCACCTCAAGAAACCAAAAGGCATCTCATCCCCTCCTACCAATCTAATCACGTGTTCATAAAACATCAAAATGTAGTCGTAAACTTCCTGCTATTTTAACCGTGAGTCTATTTTTTAAAAAGAAATAGAATTCAATGGCATTTACTTTAAAAATAAGAGAAAATTCTCCTTTAAAAAACCCTGCCCATTCCATTACTTTGGGTGGCTCAATTAGTTGTAGCGTCATCCTGATATGCCAAGGTTGTGGGTTCGATCCCTGGTCAGGGCACATGCAACCAATAAATGCATAAATTAGTGGAACAACAAATTGATGTGTCTCTCAAAATCAATTAAAAAATTTAAAATCTTCTGCCCAGTTTTCCTGATAATCAAAGATTTGAAACATTTTAATTCCCAGCACTGGCAAGAGTGTGAGGACTGGCACTCCTGTCTGCTGTGGGGTAGGAGTGTCACATCGTACAAACTTCCTGGAGGTATATTTCAGGAGCTTAAAAAAATGTCCTGATGATTTGACCCAGTAGTTCCACTTCTGTTCAAGGGTGCTATTCTGAGTATTATTTAAAATAACCAAATAGTGAACCCAACCTAAATAATCAATTAAGAAAATGATCCCTCAGAATTTCAGAAGTTAACCCGGGTTCTTCTATATGTTTGATTGCCATGGCATCATTAAAAGTGTTTTGATGAATATTTATTGTTGTGAGTGCCCACCATTTTCTGTTGGCCTCCCACATCCATTCCCTGCTCTTTTCTTCCCTTCTCTATGGCCCGGGAGACTGACTTCCCAGACTCATCACCCAGGCTACTTGGCCTTCAGGCCTCCTGTGAGGTCCAGCCAATGGGAGACGCAGCAGGAAGCCGGGAGGTAGAGGAGAGAGAAGTCTGAACAACAGCTGGTTCTCCAGCTCCCTGTGCCTCAGGGCGGTGCCCGCCGTGATGGACCCGCTAGGACTACAGTTTCTATGGGGCAGACCTCTGTCGACAGCCCGAGCTCACAAGTAAGTCTCAGAGTAGGAACAATTACCCGCTAGTGTTTGGATGCTTCATAATCCTCTGCTGGTTCCTTTTATAATACCTTGCCCCCATTTCTGTGAATACACAGCTGCTTTACTTCTAACAACATCCCAGCTGAGTACACCACTTATTTCCTGCTGAGACACTGGCTAACGCACATGGGAAAACGCTCCCAGTGTGATGTTAAGAGAAGCAGTAAGGTATAAAACTGTAAGCAGTATAGTACCAACTCTGTTACACAAACAAAAGACACAATCATATACTGTATGTGTGTACATCTATGTATATGTATATAGATATACACACATACATATATATATGAAAATATATAGCGAATAGTTAGACTTGTTTTCTCTAGATGGTGAGGTTATAGGTGATTTTTGCTTTTAATCTTTGTGTTTTTCTGTGCCTTCTACTTCTTTTATTTTGATAATCAGGACAAAAGTTACTAAAAATTTTAGAATAATTTTTTATCATGGTTAAAGAAATTCTCATTAATAAAACATATCTGCTACTTCAAATCTCTTTAGAGCACAGGGATTTTATTGTCTTTCCTCCAGATAATGTAATAGTCCTATATACGACACATTTTAGTGATGATGACAAACTAATTCTGTTCTGTTGAATACAGCCATGGGGATGATTTATAATTATTAAATTCTGAAGTATTACCTTAGATCATAGTCAATCACAATAGAAATTGCTATAGTATAACCAAAACACCAAAAACTCTAGTTGAATGACTCATTTATTTTGAGTAATAAGTAATATAATAACATTCTATTTGCCCCAGTGAATACGGCGATGTCACTCTAATTAAGAGCTGTGCTATGCAGTCCCCACCCCTAAATCTCACTGTGTCCTTAAACGTTAGACTCTGACCTGCACAGCAAGATACACCTGCTACAGGGCAGACTCTGGAACGTAATCAGACCGAGGGAAAGTAGGCTCGTGCCCCTCATCTACTTATCATCCCAGGATACACTCTCATGGGCCTTAATGAAATTGCCCATGCCGTTTAAAAGCTATTTCCACAGCCACCCTACTTACTTTTTTGGCCATGTACCCATCTTTGAATCTATGTAAATTAAATACATATACAGGGTGGGGAAAAGGTAGGTATACAGTCTGAATACACGAAACAAGAGTTCATTCTTTTACTATTATTGATTAATTATTGCATTATTCTCCACACGAACAACTGTAAGCCTACTTTCGCCCCACCCTGTACCATGGGCCGACTCCCCTGAGTCCACTGCGGAAAGAGCTGAGCTAAGCTGGCAGCCAGTGTAGGCATTTCCTCCAAGATCAGATGTGGAATCTCATTTGGAGAGTAAATAATCTCAGACCTTCGGGAACTCAATTAGGGTATTTTCCTCCTTGATACTCTTAGCAGTTCAGTAAACAACTTCAGAGTGGATTTCCTTAAAGATTACCATATTTAGGTATGTTTAGAATCTCACTTCACTCCACCAGGAGGAACAGGACTCACTTGGGCAGGTTGCCAGAGAGGATTTTCCAGGCGTATTCTCGGAGGTACTTCTGGAAGATGGTGGTCAGGGCGATCATCGGCTCCCCGGTGCTGAGCTGAGAGCACTGCACCATGCACTTCTTGTAGTAGACAAAGAGGTCGGCACAGCTGGGCAGCACCGCACCCCCTTCATCGGTGTTGGGCTTAGGGGGGCCCTGAGCTTTGAAATCGGTCACAAACCGATCTATCAGCTCTCCAAGGTTTCTAGGAGGAAGAAAACCTGAAGTGTTATTTTGTTTCAGGAAAGATAAAGCAAATAAATGTGCCTGACTGCCACAAGGAACTGGTTCCTAGTGCTTTTTTGCATTTAAGGTGAGACTCATTTTTATCAGTGTCGGAACCACTGATAAACCATTGCTCCTACCATTGCTGTCGGAACCATTGCTCCTACAGCAGCAGCAGCAATGAAATGTGGCATCTGCGTGCTGCTTTATGCTTTTCAAGGCGTTTTATGATCACATATAGCCCTCAGCCCCCCGTGAGGGAGATGAAGCATTATTGAACCCTCTAAGAGACGAAAAAATTAAGGCCTAGAAAGTCTGTTACACAATTTAGCAGCACAGCTGAGCCCAGGATCCACCACTTACTTCAGTGCAGGCACTGGTCCCACTATATACAATATTAGGACCATCTCCCCTTTCCACAGATGAAAACCCCAACCCTGAATAGTGACGGTAATCGTTTTCTCAATCTCCATGACACACCAGGCACTATGTCAGCATTTTAGGCATCATTTTAGTGAACTTCACTTCATCTTCATGATAACCTTATAAAATAGGTACTATTACTAGCCTCATTTTCAAAAAGCAAAGTACAGACAAGTTAAGGGCTTTGTTCAAGGTCATACGGCAAGAGAGTGGTGGAGCCAGAATTCAAAACCAAGCAGCCTGGCTCCAAACCTCACGCTTTTGACCACTCTACCCTACCACCTCCTAAAACACAAACAGGTTATGACGTCAGCAGATATTTCGGAATCATTAGCCTAAATGTGCCTTCAAGATAGATGCCGAAACAAAGGGAAACTACAAAGAAATACTACAATGATTTCTTTCTCCTTTAAGGCAGATTTTTCTTAAAATTTCCACACTAAGAAAGGCATAGCAAGTCTTGGGGGAAGAGAGGGTTGGAGCAGCTTCAGGCTTGCTCCAGGTCACGGAGGTGATGATGGCTGCAGTCTTCTCCCACTCCCCATTCAAATATCCCTGCCTTTGCTTCAGTCACCGTGAGTCAGCCCTGGGGGTGAGAACGCAGTGAGAATCCAGCAGGGCCGTATGGGTTGTTCCCTGCACGGTTGTGCAGCCTAAAAAATGGGAGGGCGTGTCCACGCCCCTCTTGACATTTTGCATCTTTGTAGGTGGCTGTCTAAAGCTACGGGGATCCAGCTGTGCTTTAAAAATGTATGTATATAACAGTCAGGAAGAAAAAGACAAAAACCACACACAGCATCAATTAGCAGGAATAGGAGAAAATTGACATTTTACTCGAGAGCTTTTGTTGTTGAAAGTTTATTATGTCCAGATGCAGCTGTTCTGCCCTCAAAGAACTTCACGCCTAGGCCGGGCCTTTGCGGTGCTGGTCAGCAGCAGGGAGGCACTCCGGGGTCCCCACCCCCGTTCCTCACCACCTCTTCTTGCCCAACCCTTCCATTTCATCTCCCGCCCTCCTCACGGAGCCCCTTCAGACTCCCCTCAGCTGCCCCTGCTCCGTCTGATTTCCGACTCTGTGCCTTTGCCTGGCTGCCTCCTCTGCCCTGATGTTCTCCCGCCACTTCTCCACTCAGCCCGGGGTGCGGCCAGGCAACGCCTACTCGCAACAATCCTCTACCTCCCTCTCAACGCCTGTCATATGTGACACACTAACGCGTTATTTGTTAACACTTAAATATACACCGCAAGGTTATCAAATACTCATAAAACACGTCGACTGTCTCCCATCCTGGGCCCGTGGCAGTAATGCCCATTAATAATGGCAATCTTCCACTAATCTTTGGTGCAATTTCAGAATTGTTTTTCTAACAAGTTGAAGTTAGTACAAAAGGTGAAAGCTGCTTGCTACACAGTGGAAGAACCTTCTTCTCTGTTTCACATATGTTACTATAAGCTCCTTGAGAGTAGGGGTCACATTTGTATTGCTGCTGCTCCCTCCGGGTCCACGCCTCATGCTGACGTGGGAGCTTTATCTCCCAATTATGCCCAGTACAGAGTCAGCTGGTTGACCTCCACACTTTGCTCCTAAGGGGTGGGAGTGCGGAGAGGGAGTGGGGGCTGGTGGAGTGGAGGAGGGCATGTAACAGAAGCCAAAAATCTTTTTATGAGAAAAATTCCAATTTCCAAACCCATAGTACTAACCGAAACAGGGACCAGAGCCCTGAAGTGTTTTTACTTTAACCATTTACCTGATTCCCCTAAAAGCTGAAGTCAGGATACTTATTCACCTACCACCTATTTCAGAGCCGACCTGATGGGCACGATTATAAATTAATTATGATCATACATCATAAAGAAAATTTCCACTGGGAAACAATCTAAAGACTTTTATATTTTGCAGAATGTCTACCAGGTGACTTCTGACATTGTTTTCTGACATGGATGAGAAACAAACCAGAGCAAACCTCCCCCTTCCACCCTCCACTCTGCGCATCAGCACACCCTGTGCCGTACCAGACATTAGAAAACAAGCCATTAGCATTTCATACAAGCAAACAGTAAAAGCTACACCCCAGTGGGAACGGGCAAGGTTTCATTAGTTTGAATGAATGACCCAGCTGGTCATGGGTTGTAAGTATAAGATATAAATGAGTTCAACAATAACAACGGCAACGAAAAAGGAAAGGATATCATTTCCTCCGAGCACCAAACACTGCCCCAAGTCCTGGTAAGGTCCTCTTGGAGGACTGCTGGGGAAAAGGGACGTGAGGCACACTCGCCCTTCCGTGGACTGGGATCACCAAGAGGCGTCTTTGTACCCTAAGGCATTCACGATCTCGTGAGAGAGAGCGAAGGGTCAAGTTCGGATCGAGGGGCTGCTGGGTTAAGGCACAGTGCCTGCCTGTTAGAAGCTCTGATGTACTTGGGGAGGTAGGAAACTTATATGATAGTTAGATCCCCAGATAGCACCAAAACACTGATTTTGCAGTATACACGAAATGAGCAATTTGTTTCATTTTTTTTAACATTTTATTTATTTTATAATTAGACAGAGGAGAAGGGAGGGAGAAAGAGAGAAAGAGAAAGATCAATGTGTGGTTGCCTCTCACACGCCCCCCACTGAAGGCCCAGCCAGGCATGTGCCCCGACTGGGAATCGAACCGGCAACCCTGTGGTTGACAGGCTGGTGCTCAATCCACTGAACCACACCAGCCAGGGCAGCAATTTGTTTTAGACTAAGGAATTAGCAGACACTAGAGAGAAAAGTTTCACAGCAGATTCAGGTGAGAGAATGAAGGCACGGAGTCAGAGTGAGCACAGATATGGTGCGAGGAAGAGAGGACGGAAAGGAGAGGGGCCGGCTGAGACGGAAGACAGGAATGAGAAAGGCTGCCTGTGGTTTGGTTCACGATCCTCTGAATTTCCACTGCAAACTATTCGTGTCTCTACCCCTTCGTGCTGCGTGCTGCCGTCTTTCTCTGGTCTCTCTCGCCCACTGGAGCTCTAGGCCTACAGACTAGGCATGTGCTGGGTGCATTACACATACAATCTTGTTTAATCCTCACAAGAGACCTAAGTAGAAAAGGCCCTATTATCCCCATTGTATGAAAGAAACAGAAGCTGAGGGGAAAAAATACCATTTTCCCTAAGTCACAGAATTTACCAAGTGGGAATTTGAACTTGGGTCCATCTGACTCTAAAGCTAAGCTCTATCTGCTCACTACACTGCACTTTGATTTCAAAACTGTAAAGCTCTATACAGATGTATGGTGTATAATATTGCTGTTATTCATTTTTCTCTCCAGCGTGAAGAAACAGGTGGGGGCTGAGCTGGGATCTTTCCCCCGCTCTTCCCTACAGCTTGAGCTTTTGCCCCAGACCTGTGTAAGCACTGCAGGGGTGCGTGTGAAATGCTGCTGGGAGTCCACTGCTGAATACATGACCTGGGAATAAAGACGACTGCAGAGCAGCATCGCTGGAGGGAAAAATCAGAACCTAATGAGAAGAAAAACCACACTGCAGACCACTCTTCTCTATGGACGAGCAGGGCAGTTTCTTCTGGTGGATCTGCACTTGGCATTTACAGAAACAACATTCAAGTGGGAAGTAAAGGGGTGTTGGCACTGGGGAGGAAGATGGCAGTCAGCTGACAGATGGCAGAAAAAGCTGACAACGAGGTCGGCATGGACAAAGCACCTTAGGTCCCCCCGGAAGTTACCGAACTTGTTAATTCAAGGCACTCAAACTAATTGGTAACCCTCCTCCCTTCCTTTGAGTTGGGGCCAAGGATTTGGCTCTGGTATGGCCTGTGGGATTGGGGAGCCAAGGTCTGGCGTGGGCCCAGCTGGGAGATGGGTTACATAGAGGTAAATGGAACGAATAAGTAAATGTGGGGAGGATACTGGGAACTAAGTTTCTTACTGCTGTAGAAGGCAGTTACAGACATGTAAAGGAGGAAGCTAAAAAAATGAAAACATGATTCGATTAGAATTGGAGGTATCAGCATAAGCTCACCAGTTTTATTACAGAAAGAGGTATAAAAATAGATAATAGAAGCGTGTGTATGTACATGTATGTATATTTCTTAGCTTCTCAGTGAGAGGACCTACAAGCAGGACACCTAAGCAGTAATGAACATACCATGTACCCAGAACTTAGTTTCTAAATACCATTCCCACCGAAGGAACAAGGGATCCTAAAAAGGCGAATGCCCCGGGACCGAGGTCGGAAGGCACACGATGGGCCTGGTGCGTTTGGCTGTGCCAGAAAAGAAGCGCTCAAAAACGATGATGGGGCATGTAAAAGAAGGTGAAAAACCAGCCTGAAGGGGGTTCAAATGGCCAAACTGGGGACTATTTGAGCATTAACATAAATAATGATGGATCCTGTAAGAAAAAAAATACAGTGGGAAAATTGGTGAAATCCAAATTAGGTCTGGCATTTAGTATAATATTGTACCAACATTTAGCTTGCTGGCTTTGACAACTGTACTATGGTTATGTAAGATGGTAATATTAGGGGAACCTGGGAGAAGGGAATATGGGAAATCTGTACTAT